TTTTTTTTTTGTAGAGTTGGGGTTTCACTATGTTGGCCAGGCTGGTCTTGAACTCCTGATCTCCGGTAATTCCCACCTTGGTCTCCCAAAATGCTGGGATTACAGGCAAGAGCCACCATGCTCACCCTGTAAATTATTTATTAAGAATTTTATTTATTTATTTTTTCTTTCTTTCTAAAGAAGAATATTAATCCAAGCCCAACCGACTTTCAAGTCTCTTTAAATTAAAAGCCAACTCCTGGCCAGGCGTGGTGGCTCACGCCTATAATCCCAGCACTTTGGGATGCTGAGGCAAGTGGATCACCTGAGGTCAGGAGTTTAAGACCAGCCTGGCCAACAAGGTGAAACCCATCTCTACTAAAAATACAAAAATCAGCTGGGCATAGGGATAAGTGCTTGTAATCCCAGGTACTCAGGGGTCTGAGGCAGGAGAATCACTTAAACCTGGGCCAGATTGTGCTTCAATCCAGCCTGGGCGACGAGGGAAACTGTCCCAAAAAAAAAAAAAAAAAAAAAAAAAAAAAAAAACCAACTCCTTTACTTGTGGCCAAGGGGATGGTTGCAATCCACTCCTTTACATTTGCCCATTGGACCCAGTCCCTCCTCTCTCTCTGCTGATAATGCTCTTGGCTCAGAGACCCTGCCTACTGCCAAAACGATCTTCAGTTCACTTTCCACTAAATAGTGGTGACTTCTCCCCTATAGTGTTTATATTGATGAATGAAAATGAAGTGGGAGCAGTGCCACATGAAGTCTGGGGCAGAGTGGTGACTGAGCACTCACCAGCAGAACCAGTCAGGCAGGGGACACCCAGTGACCAGCTGGGCCTGGACCCAGAGGGCCAAGGAGGCTTTAAGAGCATAGGCTCAGCCTGGTCCCCCCCCCTGCAGGCAGCTGCTGTCAATTCTCCTCAGTTTTCCTCACACTAGATGTTCATGCCTGTGGGTCGTGAACCACAACTTCTCATCTGTCCCATCCCCACACCCCAACTGTGGAGTTCATGTCAGCAGTCCTGGAAGCCACAAAAAACTCTTAATTTCTGTCATGAGAGGTATGGAGCAGTGGAGTAGCAGTACTTTGACATTAACGGGGATACAAAAGATTGGAAATCCTCAGATGAGGCTCCTTCCCCCAGCTGAGCCTGGTCTGGAGGCAGGAAAGCCCCTCCCCAGAGGGCACAACAGGTGTCTGCCTGCTCTCCAGCCCCATTCGGCAAAAAGTACTCTCTGAGCTTTTCACACCATGAGCCAGGTAGGGGGTCCCCCAGTCTGAGGAGCTGCCAGAGGGTAGGGAGGGCCCCCAGCACAGGAAGATGTCAAGAATGGGGAGACAGAGAGGGCAGGAGAGGAGGGGGCAGTGAGTGGGGAGCCCACATACGCAGGAGGCTAGGTGCCTCACCTCATGGTGCACACCTCCCCAGGCTCCAAATACCCACACCAGGTAGATGCTCCCAAGCCTACCTCTGTAACCTTGACACCTACGCCCTCCCAAGCTTCGCACCCTGCCATCTAGACGCATCCATGCAGGTGAGCTCAGCAGCAGCTCCCAAACCCACTTCCTCCTGAGCATCCAGTGTCTGTGAAGGGCTCCAGCCTCCCCACAGTTACCCAGGCCAGAATACTCCACTCATTATTCTCCCCACCCCCACAGCCAATCAAGCCCTCAGGTCCCTCCAAGATAACCCAGGAAACCATCTGTTTTCTCATTCCTGCTACACTAGCAAACCCAGGTCACAGTCCCTTTCCCGGATGCTGGCAACGGCTTCCTGACTGAACCTGCCTCCGACCATGCAGGTACACACTGCCCAGCGGGCCAGCTGGGGCCCGGGTCTGATCCTGTCACTCTCCTGCTGACGCTCCTTCTTCAGTTCCTGTCACTTCTTCAGCTGGCCCCCCAGACCTTCCTACTGTCCAGCCTCATCCCCGACATCCCCCCCACCGCGCAGTGCAGCCCAGCGCCTCCGCTTCCACGCCAAAGCAGCCCTTCACCCCTCTGCACCTCACCTGCTTACCCTTCTCGTGCTTTACCTGGGGAGTTCCCAGTCATCTTTCAAGCCCCAGGTGAAATGTCACCACCACTGTGAAGTCTTCCCTGGTTTCCCCCAGCACAGGGGCTCACTCCCCCTTCTGTGGTCCACTGTCCCTTCTTGCAGGCTGCTGCCCCGGCACTTACCACACCAGAATCTGCTTGTCTGTTTACACATCTGTGTCCCCCAGTTGAGTCTGAGCTCCAGCAGGGGTGTGTCCCATACATCTCTGTATCCCCAGCATGCAGCCAGCACCCAGTGTTTGCTGAATGAAGGAAGGAGAGACAGGGAAAGAGAGGTAACACCCCAAAAGGGAGACAGGAAAAAGCAAGGCAGTCAGAGTGAGGGGGCAGAGAGAATGACACACCCAGCAGGAAAGGAGGGGAGA